ATTATGAGGTTACTAGTAAGGAAATAAGGGCTAAAGTCCAGATCCGCTAAGCATATATAACTCGTTTGGAAATGGAGTATAAGCATAATTTTAGTTATTCATGAGGATGGTGAGTAAAGCCCATGTCTGACCATAATATTCGCCATCATTAAAAAAAAATTAAGCTGATTTAAGTGGAAACATATTATAGAGGAATTGATAGCACGTGAAGCATGAAAGGGAAGTGAAAAAAACCAATGAGAATTCTAAACGGTTCAAAGTGAAACCGGTAAATTAAATATTGCATGATATACAAGCTGAATCGAGTTGTAATGATGTTATATCCACAAGATAATAAATGAAGAATATTTAAAGGCACAACAAATAAAAGCATCCTGCTTTGGGAATCGTCTCCAACAAAATTATTTTACATATGCTTTCCTACAAAGGTTCATTCCAACGATTCCTCGAGTATGACATAGGATGGCGCAGAGATCAATTGAAGACTCTTAGCCGGTTAGACAAGACTAACTGATAGAAATTAGATAGACAATTTCAGGTAAGAATTCTAATCAAAAAGCTAGACAGGAATGAGAAATCAATGATGATTCTGACCAGGTTGAAATAAGCCCCCTTGAATGAACTTATCCTTTGAGTATATCGCAACAGCCGTTTAAATGGGAGTAAGAGATAGGATACAGCTTTATAAGATGCGTTAGAAAAGAGGTAAAAAGCTAGTTTTCGCGACTTGAACAAAGATAAGACATAGCTCATTCTCCATACGAACATAACCGGACGAACCCGGGCATGCCACTGGAGTCATCAGACTCCTCCTCACACGTAGCGCTCAACAGTCAGGCGCTATTCAGAAGCCGACGTTTTCATCCATAAAAGAATTTAGTAGGACTCACTCCTAGCTGGACCAATTTCCTCTTCAGCATTATCACCCTGTGGCGAGGACGTGTGTTTGGGTACACCTTATCTCAACGCAACTTCTCCACAAATCTAAAAATATCGTCTTGCCTCATCGGATCATCACTGAAAAGCCGCATCACTAGGCTAATCGAGTCAGAAGGCCTTCATTACAGCACCTTTACCACAGCCGAAGCAGCTATCCCAACCCGCCTTTCCTCGGAATGACGAAATTGCACGTCTCCCCTCCCGCTAAGGACTACGTTCATCCAGCGTCTATATCAAAGATCCTTCTATGATCGTGTAGTTAAGTTCGCGAGTACACGACTTTATTTGCATATACGAATAAAATATAGGTTTCGAAGAATTTCCAGAGAACAGATTGCTCTGAAAATTTTCATTTTGTATGGAATTACTTGATGAAGAGATTCGCAGTTGAGGGATTATTGAATACTTTTTTTCTTAGGCCAGTAAACCTTGATGACTTTAACCTGGCACTAGGCTATTTAATCATTCATATTTAGGATCTGTATTGCGTACGAGTGTTAGCAAACACACACACAAGTAAAAGCCCCATGACCAATATGAAAGAGAATTAGCCCAAACATTTTATCGAAGATACGAAGACCAGGATCGCGTGACCTTTTGTGTTGTTACAGTCTTCTTTCGTTGTATAAAAGTTGTTTGACCTTGTTTTCGCAACTTGATCATATTGGTAGAAGGCTTAAAGAAACGCACCTAGTCTGGAGTCGATTGTATGCATGATAATTTCTAAAGTGAGAGTGTACCACATCCACAGTCCGACTTTGGGAATTATCATGCATACAATGGACTCCGGACTAGGTGCGTTCCTTTAAGTCTTTCTACCAATATGAACAATTTGCGAAAACAAGGTCAAAATAAACATTTTATGAGATGTATTCACCCTATTTCGCCCGAAATGTTGTAAGACGCCTCGTACACAGCATCACACTGAATTTCGTATTAAGGCCAAACGGCTGCAGTACAATGCGAATCAGCCGGCGTCTTCTGATGAGATTGACCTACGAATCTCCATATCATGCACTTTCATACGAAATGAAAGTCTTCACAACAAGACTTCATTTGCTCGGCGGCTACAGACTTTTTCTCTGACCGATTATAATTAGTCAGCTCCTTTCTAGCATAAATCTAGGAGCAGGATCACAACAGGACTATAGTGAGAATGCTTAGTCAGTAATATCGCTCCCAGCATCATTATGCGAATCGCCTTTCTTAGTTTAAGTTGGTAAAGGTAACAAGACTAGAGTATGAGCAGAATAGAAATAAATATTCAATGATTATCTGCTGAAAAAGGGTCTAGATGGTAGCAAAGATATGGCATCCAAAGCCGAGATTGAAACTTGAATAAGCACTGTTACCTATGCATAATAAGGTCTTTAAAAAAAATAATCTAGCTTTTATCATCTCAAGCAAATCAGAGAAAAATTAATTAAAGTTATTCGTAACGAAACTGAAATTAGACACATTCAAAAAGTTTACCAGGTCTCAATGGGTAGGAATGCCGCTGTGGAACCACGCTCCGCGATGGTACATTGTACATTTCAGGCGTAAAGCCGTACTGCTTCCAGATAGAATGAAAAGTTGAAATGTGTCGCATAGCAGAATCAATGTCTCCAGTCAACACCTGAAACAAAAAGTGGGTAGGGTAAAAATTAAACTTTGAAGATTTCAGGTCTGATATTGCAATAAGAAAGTGTCGAATACAAATCAATCTTCATAAACAAGGTCAGATGGAAGTCAAGTTTATACAAAGCGCATTTTATCTATATAGTCTACCCCCATCAAACCATAAAGAGTTTGGAGATTTATTTCAAATTGCATTCAATTGTGTGAAAAAAGGTGTATTAAAGTGATGTAAACATACCACAACTGCTCTCTAGAATAAGAGGAAAAGTGGTCACGTTCCGCCTCTTATTTAATTGCAGTTTATAGAGCGAGTGAATTCACTTGAAATGCATAGGCTTACAAGTAACAATTTTCAGTAGACTTTCAATGTTAAAAAAGTAATTAAGCTCCAAAAAATATAAGGCTATGAAAGATCGATGATTAATGTGTCATCCTACCAATAGACTAGGCCAAAATGCTTCAAGACTTTGAAAAACAGGCATGTTGACGGTCCCTTTGTCTTTGTTGACGAGAAAATGCCAATCACCATAACGCAAATGCCGATCTATGCTGATTTTATATTCTGTAAGTCAATAAAAAATTAACTTGAAAAGCTCTGAGAAAAGCAAAAATTGGTTTGGTGATACAATTGATTAGTATAGAAATTGAGATTTATTATCTACAACATAAATTTGCTGCTTGATAGACATTTTGATGGATGTAAGAAACCCTGAAGGTCAACTCACCCACAACAAATATGCTTTCTCCCTCTCTGATGTATAAGCTTAAATTATTCATTTACAACACTTGCATACAGACTAAAAATTTGCTTTTTTTAAGTATACAAGAAAATCGTTATCGAAAGCAAACAATTGAGGTGCATTTGACTTCAATATATACAATGCTGGTACAGTAAATTAAATACTAATGATGTGAAGACCAAGATATGATGGCCTCTATTTTGGCCATAGTCTTCTTTCGATGTATAGAAGTGGTCTGATCTCGTTTTCGTAACTTGGTCGTGTTGTCAGGGTGACTTAATTGGATGCAGCTTGTCCGAAGTCCTCTGCTATAGTACTTATCATTATTCCCAGCGTCGGACCATGGACTTGCTACACTACCAGACATTTCGCCGAAATCGTCAGTGAGTTTTGCCATTCTCAGTACCAGGCTACAGCTCATCAAAGAGGGCAGTGAAGTCAATCCCTTGGCCAACGGTTTTGTCATAACTCCTCTCTGCTCTGGCCAATCCATCTACTCTTTACTCTCTTATTTCACTCGCGTTCTATCCCAATTTCTGACTTGTTTGTATTGCACTCTTCCAGATGTGCCCTTTTTTTGCAAGTGTGGCGCCATCACATCTGCTGTTTGCCTTGCCCTCCCTCCCTCTCGAGTTGCTGATCCGGCTTGGAACTCCTATCCAGATCTCCTTTATGAGCCCGTAGACCAGTCTCTTATCTTTCTGGTTGACTGATTTTACTCGGTTCTAGTTCCAGTGCACGTTTAACTCCAGGCCCTATTTCTCAAGCCTTCAGTAGCATGAACAATGTCGCCTCACCGAGCGAAGCGCCTAGACTCTGATTCCCATACTTCACAGGTCATCTCCTTAATTTTAAACCGAGTACCCTGAGCAAACCTCGGACGTCTATCTCTGGTCATCTGCTACCTCCCGAATGGATTTCTAGCCAATTTTGCTAGAATAACGAATTTCTGTAATGTGATTATCCGTCTCGCTATTCCTGTGACCGCAAAGTCCAAAAATTTATAGTTGTTTCTTCGAGCAGACTACACTCAGTGAGAAGGTCTTCACTTGATTTCCAAAAGTTCCACACCCCCTTCCTCCTCACGATCCATTTTCCCTGTTCAATGATAGATCCTTGATTCAGGCGTCTCTTTTTTGTTTGTATTGTCATAGCATTGTTTTCTCCCAGTTTGCATAGGCAATATGCAAAAGTGTTGCTAATGCTGCTTTCTTCCAATCTCCTGTTCGTTAAAATTTTTTCCCCAAGGATATCAATGACCTCCCTAATCTTCCTCTTCCCTCAGTCTTCACTATGAGGCCCTTGTTTCTGTTGCTTTCCAATTGATCTCTTGCCCGGTCAGTGCGATGTGTTCCGCTATTTCTAATCTTTCGGTATCCAATTTCCTGTAGAGCATTTGATGTGCATTGATTCGTATGTTGATTTTTCTGTGCAGTACTTAGGAGCAATCCAATTTGTTCACCCTCTCATGTTACGTGGGTCTGTAAAAAGTGTTGTCTTTTCCATCGTGGTCGCTAGAATGATCCAAAATTGATTTCACGATTCTTATGCAGACAATTAAGTGAAACGATTGGATATTGGAAATATTTAGTGAAGAATTCATATGAATTAGTTAGATTGATAGATCAGCAGTGTATTGAAGAGGATAAGCTATTAGTGAGTTTCGAGGTAGCATCAAAGTATATCAACATCCCAGTTCAGGCGGTCATTAAAGCACTAGCACTCAACCTAGGTGAACATTCAGAAATTATTGAAAAAGCGAATGTGAGTAAAAGCTCTATTTTAAGGATACTAAATCTATCCATGATTAGCACATACTTCACCTTTAATGAAAAAGTGAACATGTTCAAGGCCAATCAATGGGACCTTGTTTGGCTCCCATTTTAGCGAATAATTACATGCCAATGATGGAGGAACTATTAGTCATAAAACTAGCTTTCGAAGAATCCCTTAATAGATTGATGTTTGAATACCTTTCATTTCGTTGGAAGAGGCGAGAGGAAGGGATTGGTAAGTTGGTCTCATAGGAAACTGTAAAGGCATTGCCTCGGAGCTGTGATTGTAGATTTATGCAAATAGGTCCGCGGCTCACCGCCCTGCAACCCCGATGAATCCTTGCTGAGCTGAGTAAGTCAATAGCAAGACTTGATCTTGCGAATACCTAGTTTAGACTATTTAGATTTAGCCCATCTTAGCCATGAATTTTCCACCAGGGCTCAATACTAAAGTCGGGGAGGTAATAAAAAGGTGTCCGCAATGCACTAGTCACAAACAGATAAAGCCGCTATGATAACAAATAAACTTATGTATGACTACTAGGTATAAATACAAAACCGTAAAACCTTTTAATAGAAGATATAAGGACTAAGATGGTGTGGCCTTTTGTGTGGTAGTAATCTCCTTTCGTTGCATAGAATAAATTTTACCTTGCTTTCGCAACTTAGTCATATCGGTAGGAAGACTTAGAGGAACGCACCTAGTCTGGAGTTCATTGTATGCATGATAATTTCCAAAGTCGGACCGTGGACATAGTACATCCTCAGACGTTTCGCCGGCATCGTCAGTGAGTCTTACCATTCGTCTGAGAATGTACCACGACCACGGTCCAACTTTGAGAATTATCATGCATACAATGGACTCCGGACTAGGTGCGTTCCTCTAAGTCTTCCTACCGCAAAACCTTTTCTTCACTTTAATGAGAATACGAAAGAGCCTGTTTGAATTAATATATAAGACACAATTCGAATCTAACAAACGGAATTATATGATCGATTATGCTCATACCAGCAGAAGAATCAATAGTTGCAATAATCTTATTAGCCTGGGCTAACAAAAACATGCTACATTGATTTTTTATATTATTACGGGCCTGGGAAACGGCATTAGCAGCCTTATTAACCAAATGAGATAGAATTAGAAAAAATCGTATGAGTGGTAATGTAAAATATCACGCCAGAAATGTGAATCATAGATGTAACATTACTTTGCAACCTTCCCTCGTAGTCAGGGCCATATAGTTTGGCCAAAAAAGACAAGAATAAATGACGAAATAGGTTACTTTCTCTGCTCAATTATAACTAACCCATCAAGCCCTGTGGCATGATAGCAGTGTTTTATTCTAAGAATGGTATATAATCTTTATATATATTCAATAATAATGACGAAAAGATAACTAAAGTAGCAGCGAAAATTTTAAATGAAATGTATAATAGTAAGGCTTGGTCCACATATGATTATCTTTTCTTCAAGCTGAGGCATAATAACAAATTTTAAAAACAAATTATTTGTAAGCTATGCCACCGCAACTATGAACAGAACAAAGCCAAAAAGATAAAAGATGTGGAGAAATCGAGTCGGTCTCTGTAAGCCAATTAAATCTTAAAGTAAGCAAGGTTGAAGTGAGAATAGATCAAGAATGTTAATCTAATCCCCAAATTGCGATCGAAGGGTCAAAATACCTCGAAACATGGCATCCAATTCGGGCAAACGGAAGAGCAGAGACCCTTTTACCAGGTATTCAAAGTATGAGTCCACTCCAGCACCAATGCTAGCTTCTGAGGCGGTCCATTTGCCCGTGTTAACGTCTATGTGGTTGCCAGGTAAATCAAGGGCAGATCTATGCATCCAGAGGGAACGCAAGGCGCGTAAGGCAGCTTTCTCATAACGATAATCGCCTGAAATATAAAGGTATGGTAACTAACATGATAATATAAATATAAACGGATGAATGGCAAGGAAAATAATAGCAGGAAACAAACGTCTTAAAAGACGATGACGAAACATAAACTATATTGTCTCTAACCAATCGTCAGCTCAAAATGAAATTTTGACAACGAAGTGAATTATAATCTCTCTTTTTCATGGATCACTGGGGAAGCAAACGATTTAGTCCTCGCCTAACTCATTTGCATGGGGTTCCCTACAAACACCGAAACATAAATAATAACTTAGTTACCATAGGTAGCTTGAGGTAATTTAAAGACTACAGTTGAGTTTTTCCCACATTGAGATAAATATGCCTCACGGTGCCATTACATTTTACTTAGCCTTACCTCACAAAAGCTTATGACATTGTGGGAAAAATTGAGCTGTCCGTCATCGTCCTCGCAACTTGGATGGAGTGACGGGCAGAATTTGTAGAACGTACCTAGTCCTGCGTTATCGGTAAAGCATTCATGATTTTCAGCATCTGGTACTTGGCCCATTCTCAATATAACTAGCGTATAATAGTACCCTGAAACACACCCGTCATGTTAAATCGTAAATTCTATCATTAGTATCAACGGCGCCAGATCTATATTTTGGTAATGCACAAAAATCCAACATGTAACAAAGATTAGTCCAGATGCTAGTTCAAGGACTATAACTACAGATCTTCTAGTTGAGTCCATATTCAACTAATGACTAGAAATACTGGAAAATCAAAGTGTATAGCCACAAAATTGGGTAGGCATTGGCACCTAGGATAAGAAAGTATAAAAAATAAAGTGGGTTACACGGATTGAGAATGATAACTAAGGGCTTAACTCTAAATAATCATAAATTCTTGTCGGATATCAAAGTTTGGAGAAGTTACAAGGTGAATTTATCTAACGCGAAATTGTGTCATTTATCCGGATCAAGTATATATATGTACTCAGATATACATATATATTTAGTCCTAGCCTGCTGAAGAACACATTTATATAGCTAATCCGTCATTTTTCGTTTTATAAGCAGGTTTTCGAGACTACCAGTAGATAATATCATACATTTCATGTATTATCTTATTATATTGCAACTTAAAGAAGTCATCCGAGCTAAGACTGCCAGACATTGATCGCTGTTATCTGGTTTTTATCCTAATGAAAGAAAAAAATGTTAGCGTCTTCTTGAATTCCAAATTAAACTAAATCATGAAATACAGTCAAGACTTCCTTAGTCCCATAAAAATTTTCAGCCTATCAATAACAAAAAACTTAGGATTAGTTCTATAGGGTAAAAATAATTTCAACAAAAATATGGCTAATTTGCTTGGTCGTCGCTTTGTTGGTCCTAGCGTACAATGATCACTCCCTCATCACATTCGACCTAAGGTGACTAGAGCTCTGACTTAGTATTTACTGATAGCCTCAATATCTACATTATATGAACATTATTTGTATTCGCAACATGGTCAAACAACCTCTATACAACGAAAGAAGACTGCGACCACATAAAAGGCCACACCATCTTGGTCTTCATACCTTCGATTGTTTGTATTCGTTTATACAATATTGAAACATCGGGCAAGTTATCATACTTTTTAATGAAATCGTAGTCTGAAAGGTAGTAAGGAATGCAGGCGCAATACAAAGCAAGTTTTTCGGAGTGACTTTGGAAATACGACCAGGTTACGAATAAGAGCCTATGCCAACTGAATAAAGTGAAAGGAAATGGTAATCATACCAAGGGAAACACCAAATTAATTATCATATCAATGATCTAAAAGAAAATTTCGTTTTATGTCAATAAATACAGTAAACTAAACTTAAAAATGAGAATATAATTTTAAAAATATGCTATCTAAATGATTGTGAGTATAGTTCGGCAGCAAAATAGGTAGATACAATACGATACTAATCAAAAAGAAAATTCATGTGGAAATCTGGGGTAAATAGCCTTAAAAGATCAAAAGTGAAATCCATAAAAGCTGTATTATCGGCTATTAAGACAAAAATTAGAGAATGCCAAAAAAATATCTAAAAAATGATGCTATATGCGTAAAGTGAAAGGTTGCTTGGAATGGGTGCCCAAGTCAAATGAATAAACACTTTTATACAATCATTTACTAAAAGCGAAGACCAAAATTTACCATTTTCAACAAAATTAATCGATAGACAAGGAAGTAATATTATATGAAGGACTGAATTACTAATAATTCTAGTATTCTTTATAGAATTGAATATTAAGCT